TTCAATAGAATAACACACATCCCAGATTTTTGCATACTTGGCAAGGGTGGTTTTGCCTGATCCAGGAGCCCCTCGAAGTAACACCAACACCTGCCCTTCTAATTTGAGCCTGTTCCTGGAGGGCAGAGTCCATGACTTCGGTACAGTTGCAGAAGGTTTCAGAGGTGCTTGTCTGATAGGTCCATGAGCCAACCATTGAGCAGCAGGGATGGCATTAGAGCTCCATGGTGTGGAGTTAGGAATGACAGGTGTAATGAAGGCAGGCCTCACAGCGCGGGGATGAAACTCAGCAGCCTGAGTGTTCCAGAACATGGCAGGTGTGCTGAGAGCTTCTTGATGCTGCTTTGACGTTGTGTGGTTACGGAGCTGATCAGGTCTACGGTACACCTGAAAGGCTGAGGGCCTTGGTCCAGTAGAGCTGGCCTCCAGTGTTAGGTGACTGAAGTCAAGAGATAAGGTTTTGGTCTCTGGGATATGAGCCCCACCAAAACTTAATTCATTCACCGGTGAACTACCACCACGGGCCTCACTGAGCCCGGGATCAGAGTAAGAGGCCTGCTCTGGTAAAGTCTGAGGAGCTGGAAGCGGAGTCTGGGATGTAAGAGGCAGCGAAGAGAGAGGGAACGATTGAGAAGGAGGGGGCAGAGAAGACAGAGGTATGGAGGACATGGTTTGAATCTGCTGTGCCGTCAACGTTTGAAGTTCCTGATCTATGAGAGCATCAAACTCTTCTGTAAGGAGTGTTTCAGAAGGATTGAGCTCCGGTTGTGATGCAGGCTGGTTTGAAAAGGCGAAGCTCTGCGCTGCCTGAGTGATGTTCGCTCCCAGGAGAGCGGCAGCCTGCTCAAACCCTGAGACCGGAGGAGGAGGTGGGGCTGTGCCCTCGGCAGCATCTGACAGCTCCAAAAGAGAATCCATTGCATTGTCCACTAATGCAGAGAGATGAACAAGAAAAAATTAAAAATTAAAAAAAAAATTTTTTTTTAAATGTGTGCAGTATTTAAGGACATTGTGAAATATTATTACCATTTAAATAATAAAAAAAAAATTCTACTTAAATATATTTTACATTTATTCTTGTGATGGCAAAGCTGAATTTTCAGTAGCCATTGCTCTTTAGTGTCACATGAACACTAAAGAGCAATGCTCAAGAAACATTTCTAATTATCAATGTTGAGAAGTTTTTGTTGCTGCTTATTTCTGTAGAAACATTCAACTTTTCAAAAGTTTGGGATGAGTAAGATTTAAAATACATAAATAAAATAATGAATACTTTCAGGAAGGATGCATTCAGTTGATCAAAGGTGATAGTAAAGGCAATTATAATTTATAATGATACAAAATATTCCAATGATGTTGTTTTTAAGCGTTTAACTAATCAAATAATCCTGAAACAATTTCTTAAAAATAGTAAGCAGCAAAAACTATACAATAAAGTCATTTTTAATAATTGATCACCAACAATAATTGAGCACCATATCAGCATGATTTCTGAAGACTGAAATAATGGCTTCTAAAACTTCAGCGTAGCCAATAACAAGATCCAATTAAACTGTAAATTAGATTGCAATAGAAAACAGTTATTTTAGATTGCAATAATATTTCACAGTATTACTGTTTGTGCTGTATTTCTGATCAAATAAATGCAGCCGTGGTGAGCCGGAGACATGCATTTCATAAAACAATGAACATAAAAAACTTAATTATCCCAACCATTTAGTGCATGTCATTTTTCATTTTAAGAATGTAATCATATCATACGTTGTGACAATGTCAACTCCCACGATTTCCCAAGTTTAAAATTAATATAATAATACACTAGAAAAAAATTACTTGTAGGATTTACTTGATAAACAAAATAAAATTAACACATTTTAAGTGAATTTTACTGCTACTGCTCTGTACAATCTACTTACTATTTAACTTAACATTCATAAATTAAGTAAATATTACATAATTGTATTTAATTTCACATACAGAATTAAGTAAAATCTACTTACCTAAGTTAAGTAAATTTAACAAAGAAAATAAGTAACTTTAGCTTGGCCAGTAAAAGTTTGCGTAATTTTTACTTTAGTCAAAGCTTACTTGGCAATACTTTGATTTTACTCAATATAGCACCTAATTAAACCATGCTTTTAAAGTGTATGTTACTCAAAAACATCTAAGTAACAAATACAATAGATATCATGTAGACACCATATCTACATAATTAGTAAAGCGGCACTCATCCGAAAACAGAGACTTCAGTATGGTACACAATACACAATGACAGGTTCATTTTTGTGTATAAATGTGTCATTTTGAGTAGAAATTAACTACAGATGTAACAAAATCGCAAGTTGCTAAACCTAACAACAAAAGCAATGATAAAACAGTGTGGGGAAAAAAATCAACCTTATTAATTTTTCATGGCACAGTGCATGATGGGAACACCAGTATCAGAAAAGCTGAGTAGGTTTTACTTAATTTTACAACACTGATATTTAAGCTTTAACTTCTACAAGCTTGAATTGAGTACTAATGTTGAATTTAATGTTTTAATTATTGCCTGAACTAACTTTTTCCATGTAGAATTACATTTGTTTTTCTGTAGTATTTACTTCACCACATCACCAATCATTTTTTACCAGTGTATAGAGAAAATATAACATCAAGTAACTGCATAAAAGCTTTTGGTACATGTAGCTGGTTTAGGATGGCCATTAGGAGATCCAAGCTGATCTTTAAGCATCTCTGACCAGCAATAAACCTGATACTAGTTGGTCAACCAAGTAAAGGTGGGAAAGCTGGCTTTGGAACGTGGTAAGAAACCATATGCATGTTCCAAAACAATAACAGGTTATTATAAATACCTTCCTGTAAATTATTGACACCTGCTAAAATCACAGCCAGCCTCCTACCTTTAAAATCTGCCTCTGAAAGCACCATGTAAATGACATCGGGGTCCAGATGTGAAAACATCTCCTGCATGCTCTGGACGATTTCGTCTCGGCTTTGAGATTCCAGCTGACCGCTCCTGAACTGTGTGGATCCAAAGCGGTCATCTGATGAGTCCAGCCGGGTCACAGACGATCCACTCGCCCCGTGTGCTCGACTTTCGGAGCCGCTCCCGTATTCAGCCGCTCCGGGGGGGCTCAGTCCGTTTTTCTTTTTCTTTGGCATTCTGGTGTGGCCCGATTCAAACACACCGACCACAAATCCACTGTTTACAAGTTTTACCACAGGAAGGAAAGTACAAGAAAACCAGAACAACAACAACTTCTTCTTCGTTTGGTGTTTATTGGCGGTTCACAACCTAACGTGTTGGTGCACTACCGCCACCTTCTGGACTGGAGTCTGGATCAGGATATTTGCTTATACAATACAATACAATACAAGTTTATTTGTATAACACATTTAAAAACAACTGGTGTTGACCAAAGTGCTTTACAAGGCTAAAAGAAACAGACAATAGTGACACAAAGCATTTAAGCACTAGAGAAACAATAAAA